CATTAAGACTCAAAACAGGGGAAAGTAATGATTAAAAAAACACTCAGCAACTGGATTAGGTTTTTTCAAGAAATCTATCAGGTTGCCCCAAATTTAATAATTAATTTGGGGGTTTTCCTTCAATGATGCATATTTATTCTATAAAGAACAGAAGATATTACAGCTCATTAAACCACACTGATACACGGAGGTCACTCTACTTCCAACAGCATTTAGTTTCTGATTATCTGACAGGAAACATGTAAATCTGTGAATTATAATGTCATTGGCTCATTAAGAGCGTTGCGATTTCACAGCACCAGAAAAATATGTGTTTAAACCCACACAGCGTTTATATTATTACTGGAAACATGCAGTATGACTAATGTGTGTTTGTTTGTATTCTTTAGTATTAATTTCGTGCTCAGATGGAGGAGAAGCAACGAAGGAGGTGAGCTCTGAAGCTGAGTCCTCACCAGTCAGTAGACGAGGTGAGATCTTTAATTAGTTTAATACAGAGAGTCCAGTAAACATTTAGGTTCAAATAAGGATTTATGTGCCAGAATGTTTCCCTTTACTATAAAAACTCTGAACCTGAGTGGTAACTTTAGTCTTTTCCACTCCCGTCTAGAAACCGCGCTGGATTATACCACAACAGACACGTCCGAAATCAACAACACGGACAGCCAAAACACGCAGGCAGCAGGAGTCCAGAAGAAAGGGAAGGTGTTCGTATGCGATGTCTGTAACAAGAGCTTCGACCGGCAGTTTCACCTGCTGAAGCACATGAAGACTCACAAAGATCAGAGGCCTTTCACCTGCGACCAGTGCCCCAGAAAATTCAGGAATACAGCCACCTTTGAGTACCACCTGCTGCGGCACGAGGAGAAGAAGCACGCTACCTTCAAGTGCCAGCTCTGTGAGAAGACGTTCAAAACCAAAATGTACCTAAAGACTCATCAGCTCGTGCACACGGACACGAGGCCGTTCGTCTGCTCCACCTGCGGGAAGGGCTTCAAAACGAAGCACAACCTGCAGGCTCATCAGATCGTGCACACTGTGGAGAAGCCGCACAAGTGCTCCGAGTGCGGTGAGAGCTTCAGGTACGCGTTCACGCTGCAGTGCCACAGGAGCATCCACACTGGCGAGAATCCGTACAAATGCACGGTGTGCGGCAAAGCTTTCGTAAAGAGGAGGTCGCTCAGGACGCACCAGTCGGTCCACAGAGGGAAGATGTTCACGTGTGAGACGTGCGGAGCGGGCTTCACCCTTCAGCAAAACCTGAAGAGACACATTCGTATTCACACGGGGGAAAAACCCTTCAAATGTAAAGTCTGCGGGAAGAGTTTCATTCAGGACAACAAGCTGAAAGCCCACATGCTCCTTCACGGCGCCTCGAAGTCCTTCATGTGTGACCTGTGTGGGAAGACGTTTCTCTACAACTGGCAGCTGCAGAAACACCAGAAGGTACCTCACGATCAAAGACACGGGCGCGTCATCAGAAGACGGAGTCAAGAGCGAGGTAACCGCAGAGTCATCTATCGGCAGGACCGCACGACAGACGACGTGACGCCGTTCAGCTGCAAGACCTGCCGCAAGGGCTTCGACACGGCGAGTTCACTGAAGAGACACGAGCTCATTCACACGGGTCAGATGCAACATAACTGCGACCTGTGCGGGAAGAGTTTTTTCTACAAAGCGACGTTCGACTACCACCAGCGGGTCCACACCGGCGAGCGGCCGTACGCCTGCGACATGTGCGGGAAGAGGTTCATCATCCTTCAGGCTCTCAAGTCCCACAAACTGCAGCACTCCGGAGAGAAACCGCACAAATGCGAGCTGTGCGGCAAGGCCTTCAGGATCTACACCAACTACCTCCGACACTTACGGGTCCACACGGGGGAGAAGCCCTACGAGTGTGAGGTTTGCGGCGTGAGGTTCAGGCAGCTCGCACACGTGAAGTTTCACATGCAGGTCCACACGGGAGAGAGGCCGTATTCCTGCAGCGGCTGCGGACTTGGATTTTCAGACTCGAGGCTGCTTAAGAAACATAACTGTACTGAGAAACACCAGAAAGTGTGAAAATAATGACGATGCAGTAGCTGTTTCTTTGTATTCTTACCTGTAGTTTTAGAAACCTGCATTGTTAGCTGAATCACTGGACGCTCATTGGGTTGAAGAATTATGCTTTAAAAAATGTTCTATTATTATGAGAGTTGTAACTAAACTGGCTACAATTTTAAAGGATTTTTAAAAATGTTTCTGCCGTCTTGTTATTGTATTATTGTAATAATATAATAATTATACATCATAATATATATATATATATATATAATTCTAAAGTTGTTTCTAGAGTCTCAGCGGTGTGAAAACTTAAAATGTGTAATTGTACACTTTGTAGTGCCTTTAACTGAACATACAGCCAGTATCGGTTTTAAATTTTCTTAAATTTAATTTTTCAGTTTTCCTTCAGTATTTGATTATATTTTCTAATAATATTATTATATTATAATAATAAGATCCAAACAGCAAAACAAAGTAAATTAATGTCTGAATAAAACTAAAATCCAAATTTTAAATAGTTTTTCTGAACAGCTTTCCAGTGATGAGGTGTTGCTTTTATTTTGAAAGGATTAAAAGATGTCGCCTATCACCGTCCCTTTACAGTAAACTACACTTTATAATAATACAATAATATATAATTTGAATAAAATATGTTGGACTTTTGTTATAGTTTGGATTTATGAAATATTCTTGTTCTTGTATCTAACTTGGTTTTGTGTTGGTGTAGTTCCTCACTGTGGCCACTGGAAGGCAGCAAACACTAATAATACTGATATTACTGTTATTATTTGTTATAATCACACAAATAATCACCTCACACACTGATATTAATATCGATTAGACAGATTAACACGAATGTATTGTAGTGTTTCAGTTCCTCACTCATGTTTCTAAATACACCACCAGTAGTATTATGGCCCTACTTCTAATTCAGTGTTAGGTTAGTAACTAACAAAAATATATAAATACTATTACTTTACTTATTACTCCTTGCCAACAGCAAATTAGTTACCCTACTAGTTATATTACTTCTCTGATATTCGCTACAAAATGAGTAATTGTGTCCTTTCTCCCCCAAAATCCAGACCTGCGACGGTTAAAATTTTTTTTTTTTTGGTTAAAATCAAAGTAATGGGAATATTTCCAGCTGTTGAATGTTAGTTTTTCCATTTTCCAAACTAGTTTCTTCCACAATTACAAAAAAAATGAATCCAAGGATGTGGATTTAAAACAAATTAGCAGGCTGGTGACAACAAAAGTAATTATTTTTTGGGTGGTAACTGTATTATTGTTACTTTAATTTATTAATAATGAGTTACACTACTAGTTACTGGTGGAAATATATGATAATAAACAATATGATTACTGTAATATAACAGTAATGAGTGAACGCTGCTCTCATTCAGAGGTGCTGTAGGGAGTGTGCGTGCTTTTATTTTGAAGAACCTGAACTGGGAAGAGGAAATGAGATCTGTGTTGTGAGTGGGACGAGTTGTGTTCCCCACAACGACAACAACACTGTCGCACCAAAAAGCTCGTTTGTTTCATTATATATATAGAAAAAAAACTACATTAGTCAAACCAACACTTATAGCGGACACATTAATCTCCCACTATGTCAGATTTGGAGGCGCAAGTGGGCGCCATTCTGGAGATAATGGTCAACGCGACCGTGTCAGAAATGATCAAAGTTAGCGGCGATTCAACAGAAGCGTCTTCATGTGCAACCGAAAACACGGCGGAGACGGTACGTTAACGTTAAAGAGCTGTCGGTAACGTCCTCCTCTCTCCTCTCCGGTGTCGGTGCTCCCTCCTCCTCCTCTCCTCCTCCTTCCTCCTCCTCTTCTTCAGGCGTCTAAACGAACAGCTGATCATAGAAATAGAAGAGCTAGCTGGCTGCTTTAACTCGGGTGAACAGTCGCTGCAGGGGGCTGCTGTGTGTGTGTGTGTGTGTGATTATTGATTATTGATTACAGTTCAATGTGTGCGTCTGGTTGATG